TCATTTGACAGCACTAATATATATATATATATATATATATATACAGTGCCCCCATAAGTATTGGAACAGTAAAGATAAAATTGCTCTGTTTGCTGTAGAGTCAAGACATTTGCAAATATTATTAAAAGATGAATATGAGACAAAACTACAGAATGTCACATTTTATTATTAGCCGTTTCAACACATACATGTTTTACCAAATAAAAAGGCACGCACTTTTAGAGTTCATCCCACTATCTGATGTGAGCATAAGTATTGGGACAGTTGAACTTAAGGCAGATGAAAAAGATTAAAAGCTAATATTTAGTTGCAGATCCCTTGCATGAAATCAGAGCAGTGAGTCTGCGACCCATAGACATCACCAAACTCTTGGTCTTATCCTTTCAAATGCTTTTCCCAGCCTTTAATGCAGCCAATTCCAACTGTTGCTTGTTTTGGGGAGTTTCTGCCTTTAGTCTCCTCTTCAGCTGGTGAAATTCATGTTCAATCGGATTTAAATCTGGAGATTGACTTGGGCAATCTTAGACCTTCTATTTCTTTGCCCTGATAAACTCCTTGACTGAACTGGCAGGGTGTTTTGGGTCATTGTCCTGATCCAATATGAAGCGCTTGAATATTGGTAGCCTAGCCAAGATGATTCTGTACACTTCTGCATTAATTCTGCTGCTGCCATAATGCTGCAAGTCGTCAGTAAAGTTGAGGGCCTGTTCCATGACACCAACTCCACCATGCTTTACAGATGATAATATTATTGTGTGTACAAGTGAAACTTCGTTTCCAATGCTTTCGGGTAAAATCTTTTGCTCGTTTGCGCAAAATTTATGTGAGTACATGAGCGGCCTTCTCTTGGATTAGGCACTCACTAGTGGTTTTCCAACCTCGATTTAGCAGATGTGAAATTCACAATCTATTTATATATTTACCAGCTAACTGCAATCCAAATCTTTGATCATGCTGATTAAAAGCAGAAGATGTGGGCATTTTAAGAGCAGGCATGAATGCTTGTTTGTTTCTCTCTCTGCATACGGGCATATAATAAATACCATACGTGCCCAGACAGCAGTCTCCATTGAAATCAAATTTTAGCAGAAAAGGTAAGTGCGCTGAATGAAAGTGGCTATTTAGGCTATTTAAAGTGGTCCATGGTACAAACTCCCTCAGACCAATTCATACCACACCCTATCAACAACTTCCACAGAAACAAACAGTAAAATGAAGTGGTGAGTTTGGTTCAGCATTGTTCACAGTTGAGAAATGGCCCTGGCTAATTAACTAGATTGAGCTTAAAGGGATAGTTCACCCAAAAATGATTAACCCTCATGTTGTTCCAAACCTATATGAAGATGTTTAGCAGAATTTTCATGCTGTTCTTTTCCATACAGTACAAAGGAATGGCCTGTCAAGCTTGAAATATGAACCAATAAAAGCATCATAAAATTGGTCCATATGATACAAGTGGCCCAAAACAAACCACATTTGAATATACATGAGAGCAAATGAGATCTGAGTGTTACTGCAGGTTTCCATCCTCATTCCATCAGGATTCCAGTAAGTAGGGATTTGTAAAAGATTTAGTGTTTGGGTGAAAATTCCTTTGAGAGGGAACCCACTTTTACACTTAATGGGTGTCTTCTTGGAAAATAGATTCTCCAGAGAGGAGAGACTGTTTTTAATGGAGGAACCTTTGTGAAAAAGTCATCTTATGCCTGGAATAGTGTTTCACATGCTGTCTGTGTGTGTGTGTGTGTGTGTGTTATGGAGAATGGCTGGGGTCGCTACTGTTTCCTGGGGTGTCTGCCTTATGGAGACTTGGAACCGAAGAAAATACCTGGATGGTATCCAGACATCCAGGAATCCATTTACACAGCATGGAAAAACGGCTCATAAATGCACATGCACACCCTATAGTCAAACCAACCCAGAAAGGGCAAATCATATGCAGGTTTTTCTCATAGACATTGATATACTTTGATAAGCGTTGAGAAACAGAGACAGGAACCAATCTAAGGAGTGACATATAGCTTTTAACTTCACACTCAGCATGTCTGTTTCTGATTTCCTGACATTCTGTCTGCTAGTTGTTACTCTAATTCTCTCTCTTTCTGTCCCGTTTCACGGTAGATACAGTCTAGCTGGAGACTAACTGATCATTCTTGTGTAGTATAATATAAATATCCAAGCCTGGCTCCAGGTGGGCCTCTCAGTTGTTGTTAAAGTATGTTGTTAAGGTATGCAGACTTGTAGTATAAATACTATATCCAACGTTTGACAGTTACCTTTGGCCCGGATGTTTTTTGATCGATAAAAAAGTGAAAAAAGTTCAATTTGGTGCTAAATTCAATTTTATAAAAAGGAGCAACTTTTCTTTAAATCTGATGGCCTCTCTGCACCATCAGCCTCATGGGATAGCAAAGTGTCCACTGATTCCACAGACAGGCAGACAGACAGATATATATCTATCTGTCTGTCTATCTATCTAATAATCTGCAAATATCATCTCTGTTCAACAATGCTATATCTATAAACTGACAATTTTTCTGTCTGACAGACAGACAGACACAGACAGACAGACAGACAGACAGATAGACAGATAGATAGACAGATAGATAGATAGATAGATACAGGTGCATCTCAATAAATTAGAATGTCATGGAAAAGTTCATTTATTTCAGTAATTCAACACAAATTGTGAAACTCGTGTTAAATAAATTCAATGCACGCAGACTGAAGTAGTTTAAGTCTTTGGTTCTTTTAATTGTGATGATTTTGGCTCACATTTAACAAAAAACCCACCAATTCACTATCTCAACAAATTACAATACTTCATAAGACCAATAAAAAAAACATTTTTAGTGAATTGTTGGCCTTCTGGAAAGTATGTTCATTTACTGTACATGTACTCAATACTTGGTAAGGGCTCCTTTTGCTTTAATTACTGCCTCAATTCGGCGTGGCATGGAGGTGATCAGTTTGTGGCACTGCTGAGGTG